TATGTTAAAAACTCTCAATAAACTAGGTATCGATGGATCATATCTCAAAATAAGAGTGACTATGACAAATCCAATATTATACTGAATGGGCAAAAACTGGAAGCATTCTGTTTGAAAACTGGCATGAGACAAGGATGCCTACTCTCACCACTTCTATTTAACATAGTATTAAAAGTTCTGGCTAGGGCCATCGGGCAAGAAAAAGAAATAAACAGTATTTGAATAGGAAAAGAGGACATCAAATTGTCCCTGTTTGCAGATGACATGACAGTATATGTAGAAAACCCCATTGTTTCAATCCAAAATTTCCGTAATCTGATAAGCAACTTCAGCAAAGTCTCAGGATACTAAATCAATGTGCAAAAATTGCAAGCATTTCTATACACCAATAATAGACAGCCAAATCATGAGTGAACTCCCATTCACAATTGCTAAAAAGATAATAAAATACCTAGGAATACAACTAACAAGGGATGTGAAGGACCTCTTCAAGGAGAACTACAAACCACTGCTCAAGGAAATAAGAGAGGACAAAAACAGATGGAAAAGCATTCCATGCTTATGGTTAGGAAGAATCAATATCATGAAAATGGCCCTACTGCCCAAAATAATTTATAGACTCAACACTATCCCCATCAAGCTACCGATGATTTTCTTCACAGAAGTGGCAAAAAAACAACTTTAACTTCATATGGAACTAAAAAACAGCCTGTTTAGCCAAGACAATCCTAAGCAAAAAAAAAAAAGAAAGAAAGAAAAAAAAAGCACAACAACAAAGCTAGAGGCATCATGCTACCTAACTTCCTAACTTCAAACTATATTACAAGTCTACTATAATCAAAACAGCATGGTACTGGTACCAAAACAGAGATATAGATCAATGGAACAGAATACAGGCCTCAGAAATAATGCCACACAACTACAGCCTTTGACAAACCTGACAAAAACAAGCAATGGGAAAGGATTCCCTATTTAATAAATGATGTTGGGAAAACTGGCTAACCATATGCAGAAAGCTGAAACTGGATCCCTTCCTTACACCTTACACGAAAATTAACTCTAGATGGATTAAAGATTTAAACATGAGGCTTAACACCATAAAAACTCTAGATAAAAACCTAGGCAATGTCATTCAGGACATAGGCATGAGTAAGAACTTCATGACTAAAACACCAAAAGCAATGGCAACAAAAGCCAAAATAGACAAATAGGATCTAACTAAAGAGCTTCAGCACAGAGAAAAAAAAGAAACCTATTAATAGAGTGAACTGGCAACCAACAGAATGGGAAAAAATTTTTGCAATCTACCCATCTGACAAAGGGCTAATATCCAGAATCTACAAAGAACTTAAACAAATTTACAAGAAGAAAACAAACAGCCCCATCAAAAAGTGGTCAAAGGATATGGACATTTTTCAAAAGAAGACATTTATGCAGCCAACAAACATATGAAAAAAAAGCTCATCATCACTGGTCATTAGATAAATGCAAATCAAAACCACACTGAGATACCAACCACCTCACGCCAGTTAGGATGGCAATCATTAAAAAAATCAGGAAACAACAGATGCTGGAGAGGATGTAGAGAAACAGGAACGCTTTTACACTGTTGGTGGGAGTGTAAATTGATTCAACTATTGTGGAAAACAGTGTGGTGATTCCTTAAGGATCTAGAAATAGGAATACCATTTGACCCAGCAATCCCATTACTTGGTATATACCCAAAGGATTATGAATCATTCTATTACAAAGACACAGCACATGTATTTTTTTTGTGTATGTGTATTATATATATATAATTTTATTGCACTTTAGGTTCTGGGGTACAGCCCAGGCACATGCCAATAACCTTCATCAGCAAGATCCCACTAAGCCTGTAGGAGCCGCTGTTGTCCCCTGGGAAGAGCCAGTCTAGGAATACCAGTCCACAGATCCAGGCCAAGCGTCCCATAACCATATAATTACTTGCCTTATTGTAGGTCTTAACAAAGCTGCCCATAAGGCTGTGAATTTTTTAAAATTCAAAGAAATTTCCCAAAAGGCAGACAAAAATCTTGTCCTGTTTCTTTCCTGCATTATAGAGGCCCTCCTGAAATAAACCCATGTTGATCCTGCCCTCAAAAAGGCACTCATAGTTCTTAACACTCATTTTATCTCCCAGTGTGCTCCAAACATCTAGCGCAAACCTTAAAAAGCTGAAGATGGCCCTCAAACCCCACAACAGGGCCTCCTTAGCCTAGCTCTCAAGGTCTTCCATAACAAGGATGAACAAAGTAAAATAGAGAAGGCCCAAAGAGATCATGCTAAATACCAGCTTCTAGCAGCAGACATTCGCCAACCTAAACAGCCTGGCTGTAACACCCAGGGGCACAAAAGACCGACAGCAGTGCACCTCCAAGGACATTTTTCAAGTGTGGCAAGGAAGGCCATTAGGCACAGGCATGTCCCAATCCATGGGCGCTAAAGAGCCCTTGCCCCATCTGCCAGCAGACAGGCCACTGAAGTCTGACTGTCCTCTCAACAGGCCGACAGAAAAGCCTGTACCTCCAACCCACAACCCCTTCACCAAGAGAAAAGGTGAAGAATTACTTGCATTCCCACAACTCCTTGACTTAGCCACTGAAGTCTGACAGGGCCCAGGGCCACCGGCCCTAACCACCATCACTGTATCGGAGTCCAGGGTAGCTGTCAGCAGCAGGTAGACAATCTCTTTTTTAGTCAATACCAAGGCCACCTACTGGCTTTTCCTGAATTTTCAGGACCAATTCATCAATCATAGGTCTCAGTTGTAGAGGCTGATAGACTTATCTCACACCCATGCACCACCAAATCCTTCAATTATTCCCTATCTAATACCATTTTCTCACACTCTTTCCTTATCGCCCCTTGCTGTCCTACTCCCATTCTAGACAGGAACCCCCATCACTAATGGTCTCCTTATTTACCAATTCCTCCAAGCTGTACACCTCCCAACTAAGGCAGGAGTTATATATACTGCCAAGGACACCAAACAAAATCAGATAAAATCTCAAAAGGGGACAGAAAGGCCAACAAGGCAACAAAAAAGACCCCCTTTCCTCTCCCCTGGATCCTCTCCTCCTCACCACCGCCACAATCCAACCCCAGTATTCCCCCACCAAAAAACTTCACTGTTACAACAAAAAGTTTGCTTACAAGGGAAATGGATGGTCAAAAACAAAAAACTCATCCACCCTCAAAAACAAACCAAGGAAATTCTAACATCTCTTCACCAATCCTTCCATATCGGTGCACACTCCCTGTACCTTCTCCTTCGCCCTTACTTCTATTCCCTTCACCTATTTACTACACTAAAAAAATAACCTCAAACTGTCATGTATGCTCTGTCACTTCCTCTCAAGGGGCCCTCCGCTCTCCTCCTATCCCCTACACATCAGCTAAGAGGAACAGCCTCTTCCCATAGCATACCAAATATTAAAAGTCCTCTCCTCTCCCCCATTCCCACAAAAGGTAAAAAGGTCTTAACTCACCTATTTCTTGCTCATCTGCAAGGAGAGTTTGGCTATCCATAGGACTCTATCAGCCACTCCTCATAAACCCTCTAAAAGATGCCACCTCTTCATACAACTCCTAACAACTCCTTCCCCCAGACACAGACTCCAATTCTTCTTCAAGTTCCTAACTCTTTTAATAGTCAGGGCCAGGCATGGTGGCTCACGCCTGTAATCCCAGTGCTTTGGGAGGCCGAGGCAGGTGGATCACGAGGTCAAGAGATTGAGACCATCTGACCAACATGGTGAAACCCCATCTCTACTAAAAATACAAAAAAATAGCCGGGCATGGTGGCACGTGCCTGTGGTCCCAGCTACTCAAGAGGCTGAGGTGGAAGAATCGCTTGAACCCAGTAGGCGGAGGTTGCAGTGAGCCGAGATTGCACCACTGCACTCCAGACTGGCAATAGAACAAGACTCTGTCTCAAAAAAAAAAAAAAAAAAAAAAATAGCCCAACTGCCTCTGCTCTCTCAAAGTCCCTTCTCACTTCTACAAGTCTCAAACAATCTCTCAATCTCTCAATCTCTCTCACTCCTTGTTACTGCACTCCAACTCTACACTTACTATTTGGGGAGGGCTCTGAACAGGGAAAATCTTTGAATAGGGAAAACCTCTTTCCCAAAGGAAAGAGCCCTTCTTTCCTCTACTGCCTACTCAGCTATCCCAATTTCTCAGCCCTAGGACCATAATGCCATTCGCTTCTCACACACCGTCCAAAAAGGCTCTGCCTTTGTAGACAGAGCCTTCACCCTCACTAAAAACGATCCCACTCCCCTCGCTAACAGAGCTACCAAATTTCGCTCCACATGTACTGCCAGTAACAACCACACAAAGCTCCCTCAGCCTGCCATCCAAACTCCCATAACCCTTCACACCCTAAAACTTGGCCAAGCCCCCCCTTTGTGTCACCTCTTCCAACAAACACATACACGTAGGCAGCATCCCTCCCTCCACCTGTGGCTCAGCTCGAACGACCTCCCACCGCTGTTCCCATACCTCACTCCATGTAAATTATTCAGTTTCCTCTGAAGCAAACCGCCTCTTTACCCAGCCCCTCCACATTACCTCTCTTCCTGCCTCTCAAACATGGAAACCCCTTCCCCAAACAGGAGTTCTCAAAGGGCTGTCTCTCTCCTTTTCACTCTGGGTTGCTAAAGCTGGACCAAGTCCCTCCAAACAAAGAACCTGTACACTCTAACACCTATTCGCAATCCACTTGACTGTTTACATTAACACCACAGGCATCTTCTTCCTCTGCAGATCCACAGCCTACTTCTGTCTCCCTACCAACTAGCCAGGTCCTTGCACCCTAGTCTACCTTGCCCCCAACATTAACCTTGTGCCTCCAAACCAAAAACTCCCTGTTCCTGCTCCACTACATGCCTGCCCAAAAAGAACAATACAGTTCATTTCCTTATTAGCAGCCCTTGGAGTCAAGAGGAATATCAGGTTAAAAATGCCAGATATAGGTGATGGGGGGATGGAGGCAGCAAACCACATGGCCGTGAATGTACCTACGCAACAGTGCTGCATGATCTGCACATGTACCCCAGAACTTAAAGTACAATTATATATATATATAAAATATGCCAGTTTACTATAGTATGTCTGTTCCACAAGAAACCATGAAAAAAAAGCAAGTTGAAAAAAATGCATTAATAAACATGATCTTCACCAAAAAAAAAAAAAAAAAAAAAAAGCAGGAAGCCTAAAAACCTCATTATCTTATTTCCAGTTGCTCTCCCAAAACTTCCAATAGTCTCAAAATAAAAAAATTGCAAACTCTACCACTTACCTTCAAAACCAGCTAGACTATTTAACAGCAATCAACCTACAAAAACTGCAGAGGCCTAGACCTCCTCACTGCTGTAAGCCAAGCTGCTGCCTTCACTGCCTGTGGTGAGGCAGCCAGCCTGGCAGGTTGAAAAAAGCTTGCTAAACCTGACCCAGAAGGGTGGGTCTCCCTCTCCACCTTTCCCCCAACCTTACGGTTTTGAAATCAGGAAGTACGACACCTCCAATTTTGTTCTTTTTCAAGATTGTTTTGGCTACTTGGAGTCTTTGAGATTCCATTATGAACTTTAGGGTGGATTTCTCTATTTCTTCAAAATCACCAGTGGGATTTTGAGAGACTGCACTGAATCTGTAGTATACCTTGAATCTGTAGTTCTTCACTATCTTAATAAATCTTCCTATTTGTGCACACTGGATGTCTTTCCTTTTATTGTCTTCTTTAGCTTCCGTAATGATTTTTCTTTATTTTTCCAGTTCAGTGTCCTATAATGCCCTTTTCTAGACTTTGCATTTTTCCTATTTGGTTTGAGGCCCTATTGACTTAGTTTGGCTCTGTTTGATGTGCAAAAGTAGGTTATTTGAACTCTGTGATATGGAATGTAAGGAGTGATATGTTGTGGTAGAGGTCCTGGATGTTCTGAATAGTTGGTGACATCATTAATTTAGCTGTCTAAATTGGTGAAATAATCTTTATATAATGATGAATGAAAAAATGTACTACATAAGACCTGAAAAAAGCAAATACCAGAGTTCTCCCATCCTATGTGTTTTGTCAATTGCTCTAACTGTTCACTATGGAATGTGAGTGGTCACGGAGTTGGCAGAGGGGATCACTGGAAGAACATGGCATATCATGTAAAAATTTTTTAAAGTTTCCTTATTTGAGCCTAAGTTTGGGTATAGCCTGTTTCAATGTTCACTAACCTTCAAAAAGTTTTCAGTAAAATCCCCTGAGATTTTTACGTTCCCTAATGTTCTCTCTCCTTTGTCTCCTGTGAGTATCAAAGTAAGCATCCAGGAAACTATCTGACAAGGGATTTGAAACCAAGGGCCAGGACGCAATAGGCCATGAATGCATGAGAACATCTGGTCCTCTGTGAGATATTCTAGTGATAACAACAGCAAAAAAGCTCTGTTCCAGTGAGAACAATCTGCATCGATCTGATTCTTGATCTCTGACACTGTAATTTGAAATTACAGAAGTATTCAGGCCCTCAAGAGCAGTAACTAAAACGGAGAAGCTGCGCTGAAAGGTGCCATAGGCAAGTCAAAATTAAAAGTAAGTTGAGTTACACAGTAGTAGAAACTGCTACTGTACTAGCATAGACTCTCATAGAAGTAGTCAGTACTAGTCAGGATAAAGAGCAGGAATCAGAGCTGTTAGGTAGCAGAAGCTAAGGCTAAAGGAGCCACTCAAAAGCTAACGCAGTCATACCACGCACCGACTAAGTTAAACTTCCCATGGGGTCCATCATGATGTGCCCTTTCCTTTACCTCCATCTCACAACTCCCACCACTCACTCCTGTTGTCTTTTAGCCCCAGTGATCCCCCATACTGAACTACAGTGGTTCCCTGCAATCCACTTTTGCTTTACAGGTTTCGGTTACTGATGATCAACCCCAATCTGAAAATATTAGGCGGAAAATTCCAGAAATAAACAATTCCTAGGTTTTAAATTGTACACCGTCCTGAGTGGCATAATGAATTCTCATGCCATCCCTCTGCATCCCACCTGGGACGGGAATCATCCCTGTGTCAGTGTCTCCATGGTGCCTCGGCTCCCCACCCATTCCTTACTCGGCAGCCAACCTGGTGATCAGATCCACTGCCACAGTATTGTGGTGCGCATGCACATATAAACCTCATTTGACTTAATAATGGCCCCAAAGCACAAGAGTAGCAATGCTGACATTGTTATAATTGTTCTATTTTATTACTATTGTTTTTAATCTCTCACTGTGCTTAATTTATAAATTAAACTTTATCACAAGTATGTATGTATAGGAGAAAGCATGGTGTATATAGAGTTCAATATTGTACATGGTTTCAGGCATCCGCTGGGGGTCTTGGAACGTATCCCTGTGGATAAGGGGGAACTACTGTACTTGCGGTTCCTGAAATGGATCACGTGCTCTCTCAGCTCTTGGCCAGAGGACATGCTGTGTCCTGCCTGCAACACCCATCTCTGCCTTCCTCATCTACTCACTCACTCCTACTTATCTCTCAGGGCTTAACACTATGTCTAGCCTAGGAAGCTTTCCTTTGGGCTTCATTTGTGCTTGGTCAGTTTCTTGATTTGCCAATCCTGAAGTGAAGTCCAAGCTCCTTGAGGAGTGGTTGTCTTATGCCAGGCTTAGCCAGGCACCTGGCACATAGTAGTGAGGCAGGAAAATAGGGGCTGGAGGCAGGGAACATATGGCCGATTCACACTTCAGCTATGACAGGAATTCCATAGGGCTTACTCCAACTAACTAATGGGAACCCCTAGAGGGTATTTAAACCCCCCAAAATTCTATAATGGGACACTTGAGCCTCTATGCTCAGGCCGCTCCCGCACTGTGGAGGGTACTTTCATTTTCAATAAATCCCTTCATTCCTTTCTTGCTTTGCTTTGTCTAATTCTGTGTTCAAGACGCCAGGAACCTGGCCACCCTCCACCAGTAACAGTAGGAGCTCAATATTTGTTTTACTAAAAGTCATACTCTCAGGTTAAATTTTATGAGAAAATCCAATTACATGCAACATAGAAAAGAATGGAAATGTCATGGCAAAACTGTGAAATGAAGAACAATTCAAGAGGGAATAATCAAACAAATCAGAGAATCACTTTGTTTAACCAAATGGCACAATTCATAAGAAGGCAATGTCTCCACTGGGTGATACTTCCTTCAGGAGCTCTCCCCTTGCCATCCAGCCTGGTTTTCCAGCCTAACCCCCTCACCTAATCCCCTAACCCCTCTAACTACTGACATCATTTGTCCTGTGGGGTTCCTCTGTAGTTCTTTGGGAGGAGTGACTGCCTTTTGATATTTTTTTTATATTTTATCTCCAGCATTTAATAAACGGTGAATGGATGAATGAGACAGGCATGAATCTTTTCCACAAAGTAACATGACATCAAAATACATAGCAAAAATACTGTAACAAGTGGAAGTAGAAATGACAGTTATACAATCACGAGATATTTTAACACACCACTATCCATCTTTGACAAATCAATTGAATAAAAAATCAATAAGGGCATAGAAGAATTGAACTATATAATAAGGTTACATTAATAAATACTGAACTTTGTAACCCAGATATAGAAAATGCTTCTATAAATCAGATGTTTACAAAAATAGACCATGACCAGGCCACAAAGAAAACTTCAATTCACTGCACAAAGCACAAATTACGTAGAACAAGTTCCGGAAGGAAATACAAAAACAAAAAAGAAAGAGAAAGAAAACAGAGATACAGCAGAGGCCACTTAAAATGTTCATTATATTTTCCTAAATGATTTAAAACGCTGTGATAGATGAAAATTTAAACTTAAAGGCACTGTAAGTCACCACAAAAGCATCAATAAATATAAGTAAAAATTATAAACTTACTTAGGACAGAAGTACCAACAGACAAAATTAAAAGGCTAATGATCAGCTCTAAAAAAATATTTGCCAGAAACATAAAAAATTAACATCCTTAAAAACAAAGAACTCTCACAAGGCAGTGAGAAAAATACCAATTCTACAATTTTAATGGTAAATGATATTAATATACAATTTAGCAATGATAAACTAGAAAGGGGTTATTAAATATTCATATTTAAATCATTTACTCTCACTAAGAAAGAATTGCAATTTAAAACAAGATACCACTTTTGCCTATTACATTAACAAAATATTTTGGTTCTGTTATTGCTTTATGTTTATTGTTCTGTTTCTTAAATGCTTTGTTTCTTTCTTAAATGTTTTGTTTCTTTCAGCACTGATAAGGTGTGGTGAAAGGCATACTCTGGCAATTTGTGAAGGCAATGTTAATTTGCCCAACCTTTATGGAATGAATTTAGAAAGCTTTACCAATGGTTTTATGAAGATTGGCATTATTTTAAGCAATAATACACTTTTCAGCGATTCATTTAGGGAATAAGAATTCCTTAAATATCTAACAATAGAAAAGTAGTAAATTATAGTGTATATATCTAATGCAATATTGTGAAACCATCAAAATTATATTTATAAAGATTTTAGCAGCATGAAAATGAATGGAAATGAAAATCCAAACTTTATGAATTCAAACAATGAATTTAAAAAATTCATTAATAAATATTCCTTTAGATCCTGTATGGCACTAAGATTTTGTTCATAGTCCTATTCTAGGTAGCTCATCTAGTGCACATTTTTTCATATACTTTATATTTTAAAAAAAAAAAAAAAGGTCATAGAACTAAGAGGAATCAAGGCCTTCTGAAGCAACAGGATAAGGACAAACCCAGAAGCAATGGCAAAGTTACATGACAGGGAACCTGGGTCCATTAGGGATAAGCCTGATTGAAAATAATCTCAATTCCATCCTCAGATTTCTGTGTACAAATATAATTTTATAAAATTTTTATAACAGAAAATAAGAATTCCTTAAATGTCTAACAATAGAAAAATAATAAATTATAGTGTGTATATCTAATGCAATATTACGAAGCCATCAAAATCATGTTTATAAAGATTTTAGCAGCACGAAAATCTGATTGTTTCAGTCAGGTTGCTATATAACAAACCACTCCAAAACCTAATGCC